TATCAAAAACTTTGACAAAATTGAAGCAAGAATGCATTATTACTCCATATATGTATGAACAGCTTAAACCATCTGGTTCACTTATCCCTCGTTTATATGGTCTTCCAAAGGTGCACAAATATGATGTCCCTTTCCGACATGTATTGGACATGCTGTACTCACCGTATCACTCTACCGCTAAATGGCTTGCGGAAATTCTGGAACAAGTTAGAATAAATCATCTACAAGGCAAAGAGCAATCTACCCAAATCCCTACGTACCCGACTCATCTGTATTGCTGAAGCTTTGGCTATCGAAACAGAAAAGCCAGATCTCTGTGTACAGAAAAAGTTCGTTCAACCCCTCCAACTTTCATGGTCTTAATCCCTCTATGCTAAAATATGATAATCCCCAATCATATTTTAGCTCTACCAATTTTTCATTTTTTCTATTCAATTTGTATACTCTTTCTTATTAAGTCAATTGTTATTATTACTATTCTCACTTTGAACTGTCCCCAGTATTATTTCACTTGTTCCACTTGTCATTCTAAATCAATTCTTTTTTACAACGATAAATTCTATCCTATTAAATTTCACACAATATTACGTAACGTTTTTGTTTTATTCGATTTGTCTACTAATCCTATAATTGCACATCCTTTTTCAAGTTCTATCCCTCCTATGAATTATTCTATATATGACATTAATCTGCTTAGCCACTTGACATTTAACTACGATTATAATCACAAACATTCTAGTTTTAATTGAACTTCATATTATTATTATTATTATTTTATGTATTCACACATAAGATTCAATTCCCTCACCGGATATAACTTCTGAAAAACCATATATATATATACGACTGTACAGCTTGATGATAAATTCGTTGAAAAGAGTCTCTTCGCTGAATCACTTGTTTTGATTTTCTAAATCTATGTAGACATAGTCTTTCCGACACTTTTGACTTTGTCAGTTGTGCTGATGAAATTAATGTGACCAGTAAGCATATGATTTCGTTAGATGTTTGTTCATTGTTCACAAATGTACCACTAGTAGACACTAACCGCTATCTATGCGAGTATATTGATTTAAACAGCATGAACATTGGCTTACCAACTGAATATCTTAAAGAACTACTATTGAGATGCCCACTGAATGTGCAATTTAGATTTAATGAAGTCATCTACAATCAAAGGGATGGAGTCTCCATGGCGTCTCCTTGAGGACCGCTCTTAACGGACGTCTTCATGACAAGCTTAAAGAATGGCCCACTAAAGGAAACCATCGATAATTTGTTTATGTATAAAAGATATATAGATGATACCTTCATTGTATGTGATGAAAACTCTTCAACTGCCGAACTTCTCAGAATATTTATGGTTCTCACTCATCTTTGCTTTTCACGGTCGAAGAAGAGTCGAATTCCTCGTTTCACATCCTTGATGTTAAGCTAGATAGAAGAGAGGTTAAGGTAGATTTACCGAAAGCCAACATTCACTGGGTAGTACACTAACTTCAACAGTTGGGTACCTTTAGGGAGAAAGAGAAATCTTATTCATTCCTTATGCTCCAGAATTCGTAAAATCCGCTCTAGAGAGACAATTGATAGTGAACTAGATAACCTTCTATCCAATCTCCTTAACAATGGTTATCCTACAAGGTTTATCGAACGTAACATCAAGAAAGAATCCACCCCTAGACAAATCACAGTGCCAAAGAAAAAACTGTGTATGAGTCTGGCATTCAAAGGTGATATCATTTCGGAATTGATTAAAAATCGTTTATCTAAATGTATTAAACGCACTTTCCCTGCAGCTGACCTGCAACTAGTTTTTACCAGCCAAAATATGATTAGACAATGCGTCAAGGATAGATTACCGCTTTTGTCCACATCTATGTGCATTTACTCTTTTACCTGCCCGTGTGGAGCAGTTTATATTGGACGTTGTAAGCGTAATCTCCGAAAACGTGTAGCTGAACACTATCCGGTTTGGTTAATGAAAGGCGAACGTAGAACTGCAAAGTCGTCTATTTGTGATCACTTGTTAGAGTCTGGTCATTTAGCCCCACGTGATTCATCTTTCAAAGTTATCTACATGGCGAAATCAAATTGATCCAAAAGTTTACGTTTTCTTCACTTATGCATAGCCTAAGCCTCAGCTATACATGATATCAATTCACTTATAAAACAATCTTTAATAATTTTGTAATTTATCCACTTCAACTTTACCCCTTATAACATTTTCATTATCGTTATTCTTATCACTTATATATGTATATTGACTGAGCAATTATTTAGTGCCACTTAATAACTTTTCCTGTAATATAAATACGACTGTACAACTCGAAAATGAAGTCGTTGAGAAGAAATTTCTTCGCTGAACAACAAAACTGTATTTTTACTTATGAATATCCAGGATGTTGTTTGTCTAATGTATATAATAGCGGAATTCTCTCTGATAAATAAGGATTTATTTGGTTGTTAGACAGGGTTCACTGACAATTTAGACGGTAGGCGAATACATGTTAAAAAAGCGCAGGCATGTCAAACTGCAGTGTTCACATTGGGGATCACAGGGTAGCGTCTCTGTTCATTATTTTGCCTCATTTTCGGCAAACAATACTTAATTGACACGATGGTGGGGGCTGTGATTACAAAGTGTGTATCTATTAGCATGCATGAGAACAACGAGATAGCAAGGATGAAGGCATCAAAAATACCGAATATAACAATATTAGTCAGAGAATGCTATGATCTTTTCACTGAATATCGATACGCCTATGGTTACTGTGATAAGATAAAGCATGCGATCCCAAAGACAGGTCGGAAAATGACACCAGTTGATAATGAAAAACAATACGATTAACCGATCGTCAATTCAAGTATTAAATAACCTTATATAATGGCACACGATACATGGTCGTTTTCCTCAAAGAAACTGTCACAGTAATTTGGCGAACAATTCTCCTGCTTTACTGCCCTGTCGCACATACAAACAAGAAACAGATAATACAGCTTTCGTGATTTAAGAGTGGTGAAATAACGAATTGATTATCTTAAATGACATATTGTCATCCGCTAATCTGCAGAAGCCAAAAGGGCAAGATCCCATACCTGACCACTTCTATGTGTATATATCAGTTCACCTGTTGTTGTGGAGCCAGGGACATCGGTCGTTCAACACACATCCTGTCAAAAAGGGTCAAAGAAAACTATCCAGCATGGCTGCAGAAAGGAAGTATTGGCCGTATAAGGAGTGCAATAATCGAATATCTCATCACCACTGGTCATTCCATCTCAACAAACACCTCCTACTTCAAAGTAATCTAAAAAGTGAAGAACAACCTTCCAAAAACAATACGTTTCTGTCTTCTTTGCATTGGAGAAGCCCTAGCCATTCAGTTGGAAGAACCAGAATTACGAATACAAAAGAAAATTATTCAACCACTTCTACTCTCATGGTAACAACTCCGTTGGTTCGACTTAACTTTTGTTAACTTATTATGCTGCAAAACTTGTTATTCTTAACACCACCAAGCGAGTGCTTCAAAAATCTGGGAAAGACCAGTCGCCAATCCTCGACACTTCAAACTGCGTATATATTAATTTGAGTGTGTTTTTGGCAGCAAATACATAGGTCGTACGGAAAGGCTCATCACATGATGAAGCATTTGCCAAAATGGTTGAAAACGACTGAGTGCAAAGTGCCAAAATCTTCAATAACAAATCATCTTGTGGATTACGGACATGATATCGACGCGGTCAAGTCATTCACCATTATCAGTAAACAAAGAAACAAGAAGATGCCTGCAATTGCAGAGGCTTGTGCAATTCGAATTTATAAACCAGCTTTCTGTATTCAAAAGGATAGGGGTAATACGTTTTACTTATTATTACTATTATTCTACCTTTTATTATTATTATCATTATTATTATTCGTGATTCATTTAAAACTATGCTTTATCAGTAGCATTATCTTAACTCACTTCAACGCTATTATTTTTATTATTATAACTATTACTATTGATATTAATCTGTTTGCAATTCTTGTTATATTCCCTAGTGTAAAATTGTTTATCGAAGTGATGTAATTGAAGCGTAATTCAATTTATCTTAATTTTGATCTCTCATAGTCTCTCTCGCCTTATCTATTTGAACATGACCTGGAAAACATTCGCACCTGTCTTTCTGCATGACTAATTCAATGTAGTTTGTATACTTATCAGTCTTATATCTTCAAATGTAATTTCAAAAGTATATATATCCGTGTATGTAGAGTATTCAGCTGACGAGTTTTACCAAAATTTGATGAATTCATTGAATCCTGCTTTATTAACCTTTATTGCTTGTTTCAACTTCTTTTGTTTTTTGCTTGATTTGACTTAACCTTTTGTTTGTATGCTTATTTTTTCTAACTACTTAAAACCCTTGCGTAATTCCGTATGTTATTTTGTTTCCATGTACACCCTGAGCACAACTCTTTCATCACGTAACTCTTCTTTAACAATAGTTTGTGACAACTCATCACTTTTTTTACTATCCTGTTATATCAACATCCAATCCATTTGAACTTACTAATTATACTTTCATTTGACAAATTTAATGTATACACACATACAAAACAACCATATATATATATTTGCGATTGTACAGCGATGAAAATGAATTCGCCGCGAAAAAGAGACTCTTCGCTGAACTACGGGTCTTCTGTCTATTAATGTTCGAATGGGAATTTTTCATGAACATTGTAAACAACTTCATCATAACTTGTCTACTTACTGTGACTTAAGTCCAACGAATATCTCCGCCTACAGGGACTATATGATCCCTATTCGTCATTGAAAAATCCACTTGATACCTTTATTGCCTAGCCTGTATAATTTGTTCACAAAATAACTAGCATACGAATAATGCATAATATCTGATGCAGTAGACTGTTGAGCGTCGGTGGCACAGCGGTTAGACCTTTTGCCGATCACGCACATGGTCGGGAGTTCGATCACCTTCCGACGCACACCTGATATCTATGGTCGGCCTGTAAAATTTGGGCTATCGATATCACATACTGAAAATTCCATACCTGTCCCAAAAGTTTTATGTGGAATCAAGCTGTAATTAAAAAAAATACCTGTCATTTGAAAGACATTATCTGATATCACAATGATTTGTATGTTAACCAATTAACATCAATGACAAGTCACCACCAAGAAAACTTGTCTAATCGATCAAGTTGAGCTTTTGTTTCTCTGCTGTTGTCGTATTTCTTCAACCATTTGCATAACCAATTTCAAATCTTCTTTGCGATAATCTGAGGTCAGTTTTAGATTGCCTTTCAAGCTTATTATTTCATCATGAGACTTTGCCAGTGCAGTTTGTAATTCTCTAATACACTTTGTTATTATCTTGACTGAATGAGCTGAGAGATTGCATTGACAGATCACATCCTTGACATAATTACTATTGAGTAAATAGTCTAGCATTGTGTCATCTTCATTGGTCTCTGAATTGCTAACGTTGGGTATTTTCTCCCTTTTTGTAGAAGACTTCAACTTTGTGCCGTGTTTGTCATCACTTCTTCTCGCCAATTGAGCATTTTGCTTAGAAATAAATTAAAATTGAAAGTCATTCATATTATCACACTTATTCACATTTTTAAAGATAATATTCAGTTAGTGGAGGAATTATGAGTGGTTTATTGATCTAAGTCAACCGATTGTAGACAAAATGACCTTGAATAAATGAATCTGACTTTTTAGACGTTATAGAATGGTAAGAAAAACTGAATGGATGAGAGTTTTAATGTAATTGGACAAAACGTCTGTTCAGCAGAACACTGGCTATGCAAGTGTTCCACGCATAGCCTTTATTGTCACGTAATGCAGTTAATTGTTGCGAAATTTCATTCATTGTGACATCGGGCCTAAATGTTGTTAGGAGACCATATTTTTTATTACTTTCGTATGTTTGCACAGATAATATCTATCGAAAGTCTGGGGGAGGGGGGCATCACAAATGCATACACAGAGAGCTGTCGATAAGCGGCTCCATTGAAATATCAAAGTAGTCTGTAAGAAGCTTGCTGAAAGATTTAATTCTGCTGAGTTCAAAGAAGATTTTCTAATGCTGTCGTGAAGTTCACTTTTCAAAAACATCTCCATTTAGAAAACAAAATTACTATCATTTAACGTTATATCTTGAAATAATTTGGTTGATAGTGGCCAGCAGTGGAATCCAGAGGATGCGCATTTTCCTCAGCTGGATGTGCCTACCCTCATTCCTCGGTGAAGACACCATCACTCACTCGCCGACCATGCACATGGTCCGGGGTTCGAGCCCGCACCGTCGCACACCTGATATCTATGGTCGGCCTGCAAAATTTGGGTTACCGATATCAGTGCTGAAAATTCCATACTTGTACCAAAAATACGATGTGGAATCAAGCTGTAAATAAAAAAAATAGATAAATAAAATTAAATAAAGACACCATCACTCACTGAGGAACGCAGGTACATCCGGCTGACAAGTTTCATGGAAGATGGAATGCGCATCCGGCATTCCACCGCTAGTCACCGTCCACCAGATTATTTCGAATGAATCTTCAGACATCACTGAGTCGTTGAGAACCATTCACCCCAAACAGTAATACTGTCTAGGCAGGTCGAAACACCAGATGGCAGTTTCGGACCAAGCTCACTAGCCATGTGCCCGGTTCAACTCAGATCACACAGCCGAATCATTTCAAACTACCCGATATCTAAGTGCCTACTTCCGTGAACTGCTAATACCTACAATCGAATCCTCTGTTTTTATATGTGATGGGAATCGACTTAAAATAGTATTCATCGGGTGATCATATAACTATAAAATTTCACCATCTTTTTCTTACCTTGGTCTTGGTCAAATCGCCAACCAATCAGAATGTTTATTTTTCACTAACCTAGCCAAATCACCTACTAATCAGAACAATGTATTTTCACTACCCTGGCTCTATTCTAATGTGGTTAAAAACATATAAAAACTATGACGTGTTTTTCCTGACATAATTACCCTAACAGTTACAGGCCAGTCTTTTTCTTTTGATATTTATGTGACTCAGTGTAGACGAAGGCACCATGGAAAAACAGGTGTATTATTATGCCCACGCATAAGTCCACTCAATCATATCAAGTAGCGACGAGTTCATTTCAACTGTCGACTTAGATCATAACAATATAACACACAGTGAGAGGTGAAATTTCACTCCCGTTTCCTGCTACACCTCTGTGTGGTGTAGTATGTTGGTGCATTTGTCAATCACAAAGTTTTGTCTCTATTTTTCTGACTATTCTTTAGTATTCTCGAAACTATTTTGAGTACTCCTAGCATTCAAATATCCGTAGTCGCCTCCTGTTTCCATTATACTACGTTTTTATTTATAGTACTCATGAAAAGCGTTGGGAGACTCTTGGTCCTAATCCTGTAGCTTTCCAGGTTTTATTTCTACATAAGACATCACCAAGCCTTCAAATCCCAAACTATAGTCTCGTCAAACAGCACTATACGACCAAAGCCATCTTCTGCAACAGTTGCAGTATTTATTTGTAATGGAATAATGTATGAAATCTAACAGAAAATATAAATGGTGTCAGCACTGTAACCTTCTCTCTCTCTCTCTCTCTCTGAATCACTGGTTAGACTTTGCATTGACTTGGATAGCCGATTTCGGAAGTTGACTAGCCGAGATGATAAAATCAATTTAACAAATATGGTGTTACACACACTCACTAAGTAGTCGGAACAACAATCAAGTAATCATAGTACAGTATTTTTTGTTTTTCTGTGTGTGTTGAACAAATGTTTAATGCAACGACAAAATTAGAAAACCAACTATATTATATTAACTGGCTACTTGTAGTACAACGTCACAATCTACAATTCCAAAGTTACTAGTTTAAGTAATGATGATTACACTTTATATAAAACTCCGATAAAAGCTTCATTGGTGACCTTTGTTTAACACTTCACAAAGACATTTTGTTAAAATAATTGCTAATTAGTTTACTCTTAGTTGAACTCTCTGTCTATTTCTGTTTAATCAATGACAATTTTCACACAAGATTCCAACATCAGTATTTTAAAACTGTTGTTGACTATGGGAGAAGTGACAATATGTCAAAATAATTAACTTTATAATAATAATAATAATATTGATCAAGCTCAGTCGGTTTATGATTCCCTCTCGTTTTTTTCTCATGTAGTGCCCGGGGGTTGATCTGTACAATACAGATATCGTTCGCAAAATTATACAACTTTGTGGAATATTTTCGAAGTAATAACCCCTGGCGTGCGTCGGTGGTACAGCGGTTAGGACGCTCGCCGACCATATACATGGTCCGGGGTTCAATCTCCGGCCACCGAAGCACTCCCTTACCTCGCTAAGCCAGAAGTAAGTCTGGTAAAGAGTAAAGGTTGAGCATGAGGCTAGCAACCCCATCCTGGATTTATTATTCAGCGTAAAATCCCCAAAGAACTGTACTTGAATGTAATGCTATACCATTCTGTTCGACAGTTTCTCATCGCCTACAAACTACCTGAAATTACTATGGTTTTTGGAAAAAGTGACAGTAACATACTTAAATGTTTGAATAGTTTTTTTTTACAAATTTTTTTATTTCTTTTGCGTCCCACTAGAATATAGAGCTTTAAGCTAGCGGCTTGAAGTTCTGGTAGCAATGGTGTTTTATTTTTACAGGATGGGGTTGCTAGACTCATGCGCAACCTTCCGTCATCACCAGCCTTATTAGCGACTTAGCGAGGTAAAGGATTGCGTCGGCCGGGGATCGAACCCATGGACACATACATGGTTGACGAGCTTTCTCTACCTCTCTGCTACCAACTCACAAGTTCGAATTTAAGTCAGCGTCAATTTATACGCTTTGAAAATACAAAAGGAGGGGAGAAGGCAGACAGTTTTAGCTTTTAGATTCACATTAGCATAAAATAGGAAACTTACTCAATAAGCTGAAATTACCATTATGGGTGACTAATCAATGTAATTAAAATGTATCACCAAAGGAGTGAGATATTGACTACACTCGCTTTCTGTATGCATAAGTTTGGTTGGAAACATCGAATTCCAATTGTTTCAGAAAATCGCAGTAAATTTGTTGTTCTTTCTTTGTATGTTTAATATTTTGAAGAATTTGAAAATCTCAACAAAATGACCCGTACCCACAAGGTTTCTGGCAATTGAACCATCCTAATAACTGTTTCCTTTCACGTATAAGTACTTTAGAATATGCTTACAAAACTGAACAGAAGTACTTCTTTCTGTCCTTCCAATAGACTTGCTGGAGCAAGTCCACGTAAATTTATAAACTCAGTTGGATGTGACATCAGCCTGGTACTTATCTAATTTAGATTGGCTTATAGAACATGTGGTGGTGTATAAGTGTTATGATTTCAGGTGCAGACAGACCGTTTTATTGCTGCTTTCATTCTCTTGTCAATCTTTTGTGATACTTCCTCCTTATCCTTTGAATGGGAGACAAATAAACACTTTCTTCTTGTCAACCCTTGTGTGTTTCATTTTCTCGTCTTTTTCTTTTCTGTACTTTTGGATAAACCCCCTTTGGATACCCATCCAGTTTCCCTTAGTCATTTCACAACAAAACATAATTCATCTTCCACCTTTTCAAGCGAACATAGCTTTCTGGCTCTGTGATACAGCGTCACGAATGATAACACTTTCAGGACAGAAGCAGTTGTATTGAATATATTGTCAGGTTCAGGTTTCCTTTCTATAGGTAGTCTTTTCGATCGTACCATCGGAAGGATACAAATTCAGGTTCTACACATTGTTCATCGTATATAGTTCTCATTTTGGGTTTTGCACCGGCTGGAATAAATTTCGGTGTGTGGGTTTCTTCACAAACCCCTACTAGTTGGAAAATTTCTAAGAACTAGACAGTCGCCTCCTCCTAGTCTAGGACTCTTCATCAGTCCACACCCCCAGAGACCTGTTTACCAAGCGAGCTGGTTCGTCATCCAGTGCTTCTTGGTTTCCAATGATTCTCTAAATCATATCAATTCATGACAAACCTATACTAGCATATACTTTTACAGAAAGAATTCCAAAAGCGACTACGTTAATCCAAAGTTTACATAACTATATGGTGTTTAGATGATTGATTTACACTGTTTAACTTACTATTTCCAGAGCGTTTTTCTGACTAAGCAGCTCTTCAATTCTGAATTCCATGCCTTCTATTAACTTTAGTAATCCATCGCGTTCAGTTGTGAGACTTTTAACCAGATCGTACTCGCTATCAATGAAGGAGCAGGAAGAGGAGTTATTCTGTTGTTTTGAGTTGGGTGGTGTTCCATTTCTGTTGTTCTCCAGTTCACATTTGGAATCATTCTCTTTCTGATTTGCTTCAGCAAGACATTTATTTACATTGTCAATGTGCTCGTTTTTCTCGGCAATTATTTCCTAAAAATTTAAACAAGACAACAGCATATAATCACAGTTAATGTGAGTATAGTATTGTAGTTAAATCTCCTACTTGTCGTTTTGTAACAATAGAATGCAAGACACGGAAGTCAAGGTGTATTTTTCATTAATCAAACCGCTGTTTATGTATCTACAGTTTATATTCGTTAAACAATCACTGAGCGTGTGATTTCAGTTTTTTCATCAAACAACATGAAATAGAATGTTCAAATATACATGGTATTCTTTTGTTAATGAAGTATGCAACTGTGGGAAATGTATTCTGCCTAGCATCAAATCGATTGTTCAAACAAATATAATGTATGCAGTATAAAGACTGTGGGAATATGTGAGCATAACATTCCGTTTTCACGCCTTGTCTATATCGCACCAACACTGTTTTATTTTCCAGCTTTCAGCTCACTGAATGATTCGATTTGCAAACTAACAGTAGATAAATTCATTCATTTGATTGACTAACCACTGGCTATTGTAGGTCAGTAGTATTTTGAGTTACAACTAAAAATGAACGTTGAATTCGGTACATAGCCTATCCTGTCAGTCGCTTAATCTTTTTCAACCGTACATCAGTGTTTTTATTCGCATAGATATGCACGAGCATTCCATAGAAAATGAAATGAGCATCTTGCATGGAACTCTAATGCAGTTTGACGTCAGTCGACCAATTAAAAAAAATCCAAACACAAGAAATGGAATTTTTCAGAGAATTGCTTACACTAAAACTCATCAGTTTATATCAAGAACCTTAGACTTGTATTATCTGAATTACAGAATCCAGTTATCCAAGTAGTTTGAAATTCACTCACTCGGCAATATATATCTGTAAGAGAATTTCAGTGTGTTGTTTTGACAAACCGTCTGTTAAATACTAAAACCTTTTATACAATCCTTAATTCACCGAATTAAACTGGTAATTAGCTTCAGGGTAATAAAACTTGTTCTACCCAAAGTCTAGGAATGTGTTCACATGTAAGACTGGGTGGAAAAATGTGTATGGATCATGCGGGAATGCTGCGAGAGTATTTAAACTTATGTTGACTAACCAGGTACTCTTTGATACTCTACGATAATGCCCCTAACTTATTCCTGATAGTCTCCACGCTCAATGTGTTTGAAGGAATAGTCAACAGATCTTATTACTTTTGACCGGACACTAGTAACTAGTGTGATGTGTCTAGTCCTTTCTTTGATGCAGATTGAATTCTTTCAGTCAGGTTTGCAATATGGCCATCATTCTAGGTAGCTCGCCATCACGGTTCACATTGATTTGATTTGTGAGTACCAACTAGAAAGAGACCTAGGTCGAAAGCTTCCTGCAGATGGCCTCCAATCATTTAATATCATCAAATCAATGTGCACCGAGATGGCCGGCTACCCAGAATGGTGGCCACATTGCAATCTTGACTGATAGAATTCAGTCTGCACCGAAGACAAGACTAGTTACTGACTAGCATCCAATCAAAAATGTCCAATGCAGGTCTCAAGGAAGGTCAATCACTAGCCGGAGTAACTCAGTGGTAGCGTCTCTAACTGCAGCACTGGGTGACGCGAGTTCGAGTCTCAGTAGGGAAACGAGTTCCTTCGAGGTTACCAATACGCCTTGCTGATGAGTGGCATCCAGCGCAAAACCTAGATCCAAGGCTTCCTGCAGATTGCCTCCAACCATCCTAGACCTTATTATTACAGGAAATACTCCGAATTTGAAAAAAGTAACAGTGTAAGTCAAATATCTCCATCTTACCCTCTTAGTGGGACTAAACGCTAGAAAAGACCCAGGTTCCTAACTATCCGTGAATATATCTTCGTCTACTTGTATATCCTATCTTGAAATTTGTAGAAGGTAGAAGTCAGAAAGCATTACTGTTCCATATATGAATGGAAGGCTGAATTTTCGAGTCTAAACATACATGTAACTAAGTTGCGATTTCCGTATTTCTTTCACAGGACCTGTCCCTTAAAAACTAGTGCAAATAATGATGCATTATAAAGCCTGAAAAAACTTCACCAGTCACTTCTCACAATAACACGACTCAAAGACTGATAAACGCTTACCTTTAATTTGTCTACTTCAATTTCTTTCCTTTGCTCCAGACTCGATAATTCCTGATTCAACCTTTCTATTTCCTCTTCTCTTTCTGTGATTAAATTCTGCATGTTAGTGACTTCTTTTTGTAGGCATTCATTACGTTGAACTAGTGATTCTATAAGTTCATCGTCATGTTTTCCTTTCTGTATCAGGAAAACAATTTGTTTTTTAAGCTCCTTTTGCTCTTGCCCAAGATTGTTAACACGTTGTTTCGTTTTTTGAAGTTTACTCTTAGTAGAGCACAACTCCTCTTCTAACTGCTTTTTATCATCTTGTAGTTGTTTTGCAGAAGATTTCGTTAAATTCTGTTCTGTCAGATGATTCAGCATAGGCGTATGACATGTTTTCGGTGTTTGTAATTCTCCGTCCTCTTGAAAGTAACTGATGCCAAATGATGTTGCACCAGAAAATAATTCATCCTCTGCATTCTGTTTACAAATAATATCTTCTGAACGAGAGATCGTTTTAGCATTGAGTTGTGACTGTAGTTTTGCAATTCGATTTTTCAATGCAGATATCTGTTGTTGTCGACCACGCCAGTTTGAAAATACTGAGCATGTACCACCATCCTGAATTCCATTCTTCAGCCGCATATTAGTTAACCAAGTGCTGATATTGGGTATTGCCTCTCCTGTCTCGGCTTCAACTACCTTTTTAGCCAGTAATAAGTCACGATTTAAGACTTGAACTTTCTGACGCAGCTCCGAGACAACAGACTCCAGTTTCTTCAGCTTTTTCTCCTGTTCCATACGTTCAGTTGTACTGTCCAACTTCTCTTCGGTGTATGACATCTTACTTTGCTTACATAAGTGACAAACACCAGCTTCTTTACTTTGATTACTGGACTCTAGCCGCTTAACTGTTTGATGCAGGTTATTGCATTTATTTCGCTCACTGATAAGTGCAGCATTCAACTCTCTAATCTTTTTTGATAGCTCAATAATCTTCAGTGAGGCGACATCTAATCCAATATCGTTAGAGGTGAACTTTGACGCTTCAGATCTATTGCCAACTAAACTGTTATTCTCTTCCTGCTTGGTGTCTTTCTCGTGAAAGTAGTCCAGCATTCTTCTCGGAGTTTAAAATAGAGTATTATGCGTAAGCCGAGTTGCGATAAGTGAAACGACCCCTGTCTGCTTCTCTCACACAGAAAAAACAACCACTGATCCCAGGAAGTTTTGCCTTTATTTCAGGTCTTTGTTTATCTTCTACTATTTTGAAAGCATTTATACAAAAGAAAGCTTTAGAAATGATGAGAAACACTAGTGACCCGTGATTGTATACTGATTTTCCTTTTACCTAAGGCAAAAAACAGACAGAAGGGAGTGAAGAATTAAACAAATTACTGAGTCACTGTAGATATGCTTGTCTTTAGTTTATCAAAAAAAAATAATTCAGGTGCGACCCAAAGTCTTGAAAATCTCCTCTCATCCTTGCCTTTTTACCACTCATGATCGGTAGACTGCAAATAAAAAATGATTTAGGATCATTTCTATAATTACTACTGCTATTTTTATAAGTAAAATGATTGACAAAAGCGCTTTTTCTATGAATATTACAAGTTCTTCACGTCAAATCTACTTACTTACATTTGTGTTTATAATCATATATTTATCATTCACTAAACTGTTTGACAACGATGGAGGAATGTGAAAGAAACCAGAGTTCAAACTGTCACCCTAGAAGTTGTTGTTATATATGTATAGAGTTATATGTACGCTCGATGGAATCGAAGTATTTTTTTCCGTTTTCTAACATGAATCACAAATATGCGATTCAGTTAACAACTTCTCAACAGAAAAACGCAATCTGTCAAATCCGTCCTACTGGTCCTTCCATCTAAACAATGTTCAAAGTACAGGAAACTTATCATGAAATTTTAGATAAAACAAACAAGCAGTCTGTCGGCTTAAAGTTTATTAATCAATCAGTGTGAATGGAATACGTTCAGAGTATACAAGTCAGGCATCTAGTTAAACGCAATATGTCAAGCGATGTTAAATTACACCGAAATAAAGACAAAGATGACTGGGTAAAAAGCACGCCATGGAGTTATAATCAGTCAGCTGACCGATAATGACTGTTCATGTGCAGCGTGAATAAAATGAGAGGAGAGGCCAAGGATCTCTATGATGGGCGGCCTACTAAACATTGCTAAGCAGTTCAGATACATTCAGAATAGTTGTGTGCAAATTTTCAGTCAAATACTATCTTATCTAACTTAGCAACCTGAAGAAATTCCAAACTACTCCTACAAAGGCTAAATATAGGAGTGATCGCCGCTGTTGCATCAGCTCTGGCTTCATTTGAGGGAAATGAAATAGATTTGTGGAAGTCGATCAAGGCAACGTATTTCAATCCCCAAATAAACTAGACATAGGGAAACCTGCCATATCCAATGAACTTCGCCCAAAACTTCTTAAGCAACTTACAGATCACATAGCTTACTTACTAACCATGATCATCAAGCCATCTCCAGTAAATGAAGTGTTACCATACGACTAAAAAGTAATCCTCATCCACAAAGGAGGATCCAAACACTGTCGTCTAAACTACAGACCCATCGGTATCACCAGCATCTTAATGAAGATAATGGTAAGAATTATCAAGAGAGCTACTACGGCATATCAGGAAAACAACAACTTATGGTCCAGAGTACAGTATGGCTTCTGAGTAAGCGTTTCATACCGAACAAACCGTCTTACAGGAAGAGAAAGCCAGGCCAAGTGAGGGAACAGTAAGAAACCCAATGACATTTCTAAAAACTTCAGGAAGTTTTAAGACTCACATAAGACTGTTTACGAAATCGCAAAGGCTTGAAATAAAGGGCTTCTTATTAAACGGATTAGGGAATTCCTCACAAGTAGGAGACATAGTGTGGACCAACTCAAAACCCTTTATCTGGATAACGGTAAGTAATTAAGCACTACAAGGCACTGGACTCAACACAATCTTATTTAATTTGTATTTGAGCGAATTTCCTTAACTGGTCGAATTTCTAATTGCTCTTAACGCAGATAACCTTAAAATCTGGAGAGCTTAAGGGTGATAATAGCATCCTCACGTTATAAGGATATCTCAATCAATTGTTAAATCGGTCCAAAGAATGGATGTTCCCAACAGACGTAGCGAAGTGGGCAACTATGCGCATTAGATACGCAAGCGTCACCTCATAAAATATAGAAGAATTAACACTCCCATCAGTTCAGACTAATAGTAAGTCATGACCTGAAAAGTATAGCACACAACAGCGAGGTGCCAGTTGAAAGCCTCAGATTACTATGAACAGTACTCAGAAGGTTTACTAAAACCACCTGCTACTCACTCACACCTTTATATGCATCTCTGCTGATGTCAAAACCTGAAAAGTACATCCGTGCAACCAGCCTTTGTCTTAAGAGGGACTCATACATACTAGAAAAGTTTCATAGTAATGCAACACGAATGATTACCGACGTCATAATTTTATTGTCAGAAGAAAGATGTACTAATATGAGTCTCATCTTGTCATACCATAGACTGACAGGAGATCTCACTAAAACGTTTAGAATTTTAAGAAATCCCCATGGACTCGACTTATCTTCTCTTTTCTTTACCACCAGGTCAGGAAATTTCAGAGGTTAAAGCAAGAGAGTACAGAAACCAAAAAAGAACTACTCCACTTTGCACTAATGATGCATCCAGCTTGAAAATGACTCCCAGACTAAGTATACTACCAAAGTATAACAGCTGTCAAGTGACTCGTTTAAGAAGGGATTAAACAAACACAGAAATTTGCTGGAAAAGTATCAATACAGGCTTCGAACCTCTAACCCTCAACAAGTAAATATGAGCCTAGTAGTAAAATGAATGACGCTAAGGTTGTGTATTGTAATTAAACTCCCTCATAGACAGAAACAACGGCCGTTCACTCATTAAACCCATTTAATTCGTATTTTTGCCATTATTTTATTCGTTTTCCTTAACCTGATAAAAAGCACTATCTCTCTGCGATTATTTTTTTCTCCTCAGCAACCCTATAGAGGTACACACTGAAATACATTGAGCTAAGACACGTTTGTGGTCCGGGGTTATATATATATATATATATATCATAAATGATATTTAAAAGCCATTATAATAATTTTACTATAGTAACAACAGAAATTTCGAAAATACGAAAATTTTCACTCATAAAATCACTCTAAGTGGCACAAGAATTTGAGTACAATTGTTATACTATGTTTTTGGATAGCCTACCAACCTTTGAAAAACTACCCAAATTAATCACTTTTGAATAACCTCTTACCAATAGTAAATCATAACAGTTAATTAAAACAAACAGTTTGTCGGCGTTTCAGATGGTAAAAAGAATGTTGAACAATGAGTAGGCTTATCACTTTTGGATAATTAAATCGCTTAAATCGGCACTCAAGCATTTTAATTATGATCTGTGTTCGTTAAAAAAAAGCTGTCGTAGCGCCATCTATTTTCGACCACCTTCGTATCCTCTTAGAATAGTAACACCAACTAGGAAAAATGTTCTCACTCCGGTTTCTGTTAATTTTTCATCCAATAAACATCTGGTTGTGTGTGCTTAATTTCTAAAAGCTTTAATGTTTTATTACCAGTAACCATTTGAATGATCTTAAATAGACTTGTTTATATGACCCCACACCTATATATGAACCCGATATATAGGATAAAAGGCTACTTGTGTAAGCTGACTTGCCTTCTGTTACTGCATGGTAAAATGTATCACGAATTAACACTCAACGGTCAGATAATCTCGTATGAAACTAAGAATATTAACTGATATAGCCATCGACAGTACGGTTTATGGCTAAGCGCCTAATTCAAAGCCATGACTCTTCGTCTGCCAATGGGCAGGTTTTTGGGTATAAAAGGGTAAGTCTTAAGAACAGTACAGGAATTCATCCTTATAGTCTGAAAATAGGCGACCGGGGTCACGTTACTTCCGATGTGGACTGTAAGGTACCCCAGATGTTACTGTGATTATGGTGCAAGGGGCCTTTGTCGTTGGAAGTTTGACAACAAAAAACGAGGCAACATATTTGAGTGAAGGTTGCGTCTTAAGTCACTAATGATACACTTCCTTCTCGCCTATTCTGTCACGGATCACAGTCCCTAGATATGCTTCCCAACTGATACCGAGGCGAAGGACAATATAACCCGTGGAGTAAGTAACAATATGATTGTACATTTTTTGTTAGACGGCGAAATTAGAGATATTGTACATGATTTTTGATCAAAACGATTCATGTTTAAACACACACAATTTCCGAGTACAATTCGAAACACACTATACTGTTGGTAGCTTCGTTATCTCACTGGCCATTACTGTCTACCTGCTTAACTCATACAGTGTTGTATGCTTTGGATTTATTGCAGGAACCTATTATCCCTATCCGAAGACAACTCTACAGCCGGCACACAGCTTCTACCAGTAGACACGATTTCAACAGTAAACGCTTCTGTGGATTATATCATTAATTTGTAGCAGTGGACTTTAACAGCATATCCAAGTAATCTTTTGTTTGATATGACTCATTACTGCATTTTTGATAATATATTGTTACACTTTCACCTCAGTGACTTGGATTTTTATTCGCATATTTATTGTTATTGAGCTCTTTAGACATTCCCCTACAAACCATACCTACTCCTGACCTACAAAGGAACAGAGATTGTCACCAGCATCCCTACCACTACTCACCACAAAGATCAGAGGTTCCGCGAACTAAACATCAGATCTCACTGCCCTTTCCTCTGGGTTTCATCGTGGCTGATATGATCAACGCCACCACTAGTGTCCATCTCCTGCAGCACTGTCTGCTGGTGATTGATCTTGGCAAGCACTAGTTGATATGATTCGCCACATGGATTCCTCTTAATTACACACGGACTCTTTACGCAATACAGAAATGCGGATATCCTACCTTTTACCCCGTTCAATTCAGACAGAATAGAGCTCCGTGTGTTTAGTAGATGTTTGTACCTTTCCATCAACTGATCAGTCGGCGGATATTGAGGTTGTGGATAGAGAAAACTTGGAACTATTCCGCCCACCAATTTAGAAGCTTATTTTTCTGTGAAAATAAATATTCACATGACCTACCGATAGCTCGTGATGTTGTAGAAGATTAATTGTGTTTTTATACCTATATTTTCGAAACCACGTCTGAGGACAGTTGAAGCAGAAGCCCAGTCAAACGTGCAGGAAAGCCATTCATTGTTCAGTACATAATAGAAGCCTTATGAATCGCAGAGGAGGCATAGTCCCTACTAAACTAATCCTTACACCCTTCCGACTTCCTTAGTCTCGTCGGTTGCACAGTGGTCCGTTCCATGCACATGGTCCGAGGTTCGATCCCCTGCCGACGCACACCTGATATGTATGGTCGGCCTGCGAAATTTGGGCTACCGATATCCATGCTGAAAATTCCATACTTGTACCAAAAATACAGCGTGGAATCAAGCTGAGTCTTCATTTCACACTGTTGCAGAAGCCCTACACACTAAAAATGGTAAACCGACAGAAACTGAAAGACAAGGGGACTATGACCGTCGTCAGACCGCGTGGCAATAGTTGATACAGCCCTAATTTGTTAACGGTTATTTGAGGTTCTTGGGACATCTTATTGGCGCTTCCGGCGAAGTGTCACTCCAATCTAAGAAAAGTGAAACTTTCAACTGTGCCTGAGTACATTTTGCAACTCAAGGATATGATTTAATAGTTAAGACAATCGAATAAGAGCAAATGTGACGTATTTATGGAAATGCAGGTAGCTAAATAACACAAGCAGGCTACCAGTAGTAATCTCTTCTACAAACACGACGTGATTAGACTCAGAACGAAAGGAACTCACAATTTTACAACGTTACACGCTTACGATTGACTCAGAAATGGAGGAGAAAGAGGGTTTATACAGTCAGTTACAAAAAGTAGAGGTTGGGACTTCAATCAATCCAATGTCAAACCCATACCGTTTAAGAATCGGTCACCAAAAGTTAGCAAAATAAGTTCTGCCAATCGACTTTATTCTTCAAATTTCACCCTTCTGACCAGACTACGACTCAATTTGTCACAGTATGGACCAATTCTGTACTTCGCACTTCCTAAAAACACCCAAATTCCTGGTTCTCTGTAATAACCTGTTGATGAACATGAAGGCGTCGTAGCGGTAGACGGCTCCCAAAAATTATTAGCCTACGGCATTCATAACCCAACACTGGATGTTGACCTACTGGTAAGCATTTGCGATGGAAGCTAGCAGCGCACACTATGTCGTATGAATGGGGCAGGCATGAAGCATTGAAGAGCCACAACTGCAATTATTGCAACAAAAGTCTTAGAGATTAACCACACCGGACGAGAGAGGGTGGCACAAGCTTATCAACAGATAAGGTAGCGATCACAAATATGAATCGTTCTAATCTGTAGGGCGGCAATGTGCATTTTGACTGTTCGGGATTCGAACACAATTTAAGATACTCTTCCCAAAGGAACAATGATGACTGTTTATATATGTCTTTGACAATTACCATCTAGCCGAGGTTTTCGTCAAGGTCAGATCCCCACACAGACTCATCGAACACCTAATTTTTCGGTTTTTCGAGTCTCACCACACCGTTTATATGTTTCGGAATAATCTTTGTTCAAGCGCCAACATATTCTTATGTATACTATCTGTCCAGGCTCTCTATGCAGTTAACAATTATCCCTATGATTCATACTACCTGCTCCCTAAAATCTTGTTGTGCAGAAAACGATATAACAAAACCTTTTTTGAGTAAAACTATATTTTCATTGAAAACATAATAGTTACGGTAGTAAGACTATTATAGTTAGCATTATATACTGCGAATGCGCATCATTCTAAGGACTGTATGACTCCTTATTGTATGCCATCTGCAAATGCATTTCAAAGGATATATTGTCCTTGCCTGTTTTAATTACACTTTACTGCTTTCAGGAAAGTACTTTCTCCGTAAAATAGCCTCCAATCACGCGTTGACGTAGTACTTACTAAAGTATTTGGTTGTCTATCCATTAATTACATTCACCCATAAGAACTAAATTAGGATTGCCCACTTAAGCTTGACCTTGGTGCCACACTTCAACATTTATGTGTCACTACTCTGTTAACTCACAAATCAGCGATTTAAACTTCCGAGATGGCGTTGATTTTTGACATTTTGCGATTTGAAACCAAGACATTTCTGATCGTGTCTGTAAAAATGGTATGCTCTTCATAATCGTTCATTATTTTCTATGAATATATGTTATCGCTTACTAAATTCTAGTGGGTGATATGAATTCACACTGAGATCAGGCAACTCAGTGAGACAACACGTTATAGATGGAGGGGTATCCAGTGATCAAGAGGCTCCCATATATTAAAGCTTCCTGCCGCACAAACAATACATCAATGCTAAAAAACAATACCAAACAACAATTTTTATATTAATCCACTTAACCAGATCCAAATAATCACTGAAATCACGTCGGCTGCGTCTACCTGGAAGACTAGCCCAAACTCAAATCAACTTAACAACGTAGATGCCGTCAAGATGAAGGAGGGGGCTCCACTTCAAATAGGGTGTGTTATATGATCACCCTATGATACAAGAACTCTTTGTAGACCTCTGCACCTCTGTGATTCATTGGCTAGGAGCAACATGTACAAACTCAAGGACGTGCACACGGGGACTTCGGTTTCACCAGATGGATATACAATATATGCGGCAGACATTGTTTTTAACGCGCGCCCCTTAAATACGGCGTGCTTCTTCCTCTCCAACCAGAAAATACCTATTTTGTGGATTATCCGCTTGGAAAATCTGGTCTTGTTAACCGGTGATTCAAATTCAACCATAACTTACATATCAAACCTCTGGCTAGTAATTTCAGCTGTCTCGAACTACTGCTAAAGCTTCAGGTGCTACTCCTTCAGCAGCATCTCGCTCACTTGTTCGGATAAACAAGACTTGTTTATCTACCACGTGATAGTCATGAAGCCGATTGACCAAAAGGTACTATGTAAAGTCGAAAGCCTCTTTTCCTTATCTTCAACTTTATCAGTCTTATTCTTATTCGTGTTGCCCTCTTATTCTTATGCAGCATAAGTTGTAGTAATTGTTAATATGGCTGTTGAAAGTGGACTTTGAAAAAAGCACTAAAACACCGTATTTTGTTGTCAATAGGGCTTCAGCTAGAGGAGACAGTAAACCAGGGACATCAACCCCACCTGGTATACCGGTTCTAAAGACCCGTGTACATCTCGCTTGTTTC